TTATATATATATATATATATATATATATATATATATATAATTTTCTCTCTTCCATAACATAATATGTTTCCAGTATTTGTAATAAAATAGAGTGTTTCATTTTACTACCGTGATATTATTAGATTTTTAATTAGAATTAGTTTTTACTTTTATATTATCCAGTTTCATTTTATCTTAGTTAAAGTTTTAGTATTTTTGTTTTGTTTTGTAATTTGTAATTATTTTAAAATATTTATATATTTTTATTTTTAATTTCATTTTAGTTTTAGTTATTGTAGCATCAAGTTAAACTAAATAATAAATTAATTGAAATAAAATGTTAATTTTTTTATATTATTTTGTTTTATTTAACGTTTATTTTATTTCAATTCAATTCAATTCAAATGTATTTGTATAGCGCTTTTCACAATACACATTGTTTCAAAGCAGCTTTACAGAAAATGTCTACATTACAATTTAGGCCCTGTCCACATGAACGCGGTTATGCTTTTTCAACACGGTTTGATCGTTCGTTCACACGCAAATGCAGTACCAGGTCACTGAAACTGAACATTTTTGAAAACTCCTGCCAGGGTGAAGATTTTCAAAAACTCCGGTTGCAGTGTTGTCGTGTAGACAGCGAACCGGGCGTTTTTGGCTTGTGATGTCGGTGCCTGCGCTGTTATCTCCACCTACTGGAAACTTTTTCAGGCTTCTGATTGACCAACATGGCTTTACGGTTGAGATTATATCGCCACCTGTTGGTTTGGCATGCTCTTGACAGTGCTTCATAGCATGCGTTTACGTTTTTATGTGGACAGAGATTTTTTTAAAAATGGAAGAAGGACAAACTCTGTTTATAAAAATCCCCGTGTACATGTCGACATGGCCTTAGAGTGATCTGTTATCAGAAGTGAATATGTCCAAGTAGTTCATTTCACAAATGAACAGTTCAAGGTAATAGAATCATACAGTTAGCTAACATTAAATTAATTTCAGGCAGAAGCTCATTAAAGCGATTATTACAAGTGTGATCATAATGATTACAATATAGAGAAAATTTGGCAGCTGTGCATATTGATTCAAGTTGGCGTCATCTGGGGTCCTCGCAGGGGTCAGCATCATCTCTTCAAAAAAACTAAAATGTTTTTATGGTTATTTTTAGTTTTAGTTAACTATAATAAACCTGACTGTAGTAGTCAAATAACATGGGCATTCATTAATTCATTAATGTTTTACCATCATCAGGATTTAAAGCTAAAATTAATATGAATCTATAAAGGGATAGTGTATATTTTAGGTGCTGTGACTAGTCAGCATTTCTCATAAGTTTTCCAACATTTTAATTTTTAACCACTTTAATAGTCTGCCGTTTATTCAAGCCCAAATCTCTCTCTCGATGCATATGAGGTGAATAATTGCATATTATAATCAGACAAAAAAAAAAGCGCCTAAAATAATTGTAGATGAACTATAAAATGGATAGCTCCAGTCCTAGATGCTGACAAGTCAATACAGCAATCCAGCCAAGTTCAAATAAACACTATTGTACCAGTTATGATGCAAAATGGTGTAATGGTGTATATCATTGCACAATGTCCACAAAGGGGGAAAAATAAATACAATTTCTTCTTGTACCTTATTGATTAAATACAGCATGTCAAACTGCAATTTGTTGCATAAAATGCCAAACTGAATGCATCATTACATTTTTAGGTTCATTAAACCTTAATGAGTGTGAATGGTGAGTGCACAAAATGTACAGTACAGTAAAACAGACGGAGAACACATTCCTTGAAGAAATGCCTGCTTTCCAGGAAGCCATTACATTGTTTGTGCCTATTCAGAGGTCAACTGCATGTCTCTGTCTCTCTGGAAGGACCTCTGCTCTTCATGAACTTCATTCATGTGTATTAGCTGACAGCCATGTGGCTTTATGTTCCTGAGTAAGCCAAGATTACAAAGACACAATAGCTCTGACTTTACAGAGTTTACTTTGTGATAGCTGTAGAGTTCGGTTTGTCTTTCTATTTGATGTCTGTTCACACATATCAGGTTTCATTACAGAGAGAGAGAGAGAGATATGGCTAATGCTACAGTGCACAGAAACACTGATGAACTAAAAGATAATAATGACTTTTAATGTTGTATTAGTGCTTTATCATAAATTCAAAGCTCACTGCAATAAATACACTACTGTTCAAAGGTTTGAGGTCTCTCATGCTGACCAAGGCTGCATTTATTTGATCAAGAATACAGTAAACACTGTATACTGTTTTATATTATTAAACATTTCAAATAACTGTTTTCTACTTTAATTATATAACGTCATGTATTCCTTTGATGTCAAAGCTGAATTTTCAGCAGCCATTAATCCAGTCTTCAGTTTCACATGATCCTTCAGAAATCATTCTATGCTGATTTGACACTCAAGAAAATAGCTGTGCTGCTTAATATTTTTACAGAAACTGTGATATATTTTTTTCAGAATTCCTTGACAAATATAAAGTTCGAAAGAACAGCATTTACAGCACTAAATGTCTTTAGTGTCACTCTTGATCAATCTAATGTGTCCTTGCTCAATAAAAGTATTAATTTCTTTAAAAAATCTTTATGACCCCAAACTTTTGCATGACAGTGTAAATAAATAAATACATACATAAATATAAACTTCTTAAAACATTACAACAATATAAAAACTTTCAGATCTTTCAGTTTTTTTCCAGGTGAAATTAATTAGCAAGAACCTAAATATACAAAAAAAGCAATATCAAAAAAATATAATAGTAGTTATATTTAAAAATAGCAGTTTTTAAAACAGACTTTAACTCTAACAACGATTTTAAAAAGGCTACCCGAAAACAATCTGTGCATTCTGCTTTAAACTCCATCTATCAATTATCTATTATTCCAAAATGGCAATTATACATTTATTTCTATTATTATCTGCAGATGTTTTTCTTTTTCTGATGGTTGTTGTTTTTCTTTGATCCCATGCTCAGGATAACATTAATACAAATCATTATGAGCTTCATTTGGCTCCTAAAAATGTTATGGGGACACAAGAGAAATGAGAAAATATATAATGCACAGGTATTATAACAGTTTGCAAAACAGTGACCAAAGTGTCTTCATCTTTAGTATGAATGAGCTTGTGAAACCCCTGAAGATGAACTGAAAGCTAGTGATGGTGGGAGGACTTGGCAATTTAAAAGGAGCACAATGCCACAGCACCATCTACAGGTGACTATAGTGCACTTTCTGTATTTTCACAGATTTGTGTGAGGTGCAACACAAACAATTGGCATCACAGCAAACAAATAGCATACAATTTGATTGCAAATATTTTTGAATCTCATTTTTGCAATTCGACAAACAGAAAAAAATGGCACCTTATGCCTAGACAGGATTCAGTTAAACCTATGAAGCATAATCGTGATGAAACTGAAGCAGCCCCACCCTCAATTATCATCACCATGACAACAGTCTGTTACCTCATCATCGTGGACCAGCTCTTTCTTCACCACCTTCATGGCGTAAATCTGTTCGTTCTTCTTGAGTCGGGCCAGTAGCACCTTGGCATAGCTGCCCCTCCCAATCACCCGGATCAGGTCAAAGTCCCCCAGGCCGAGACCCTGAGAGATCTGAATCCCCTCGATACCATCCACCACCGCCTTCAGATCCTGTGTGCACACAGTGGAAAACTATTACACAATATTATACAACTATTATACAATTTCTATCAAACACACTCAAAAAGATGCAAAAATACAGTGAGGTTTCATGTTACATGTGTTCCTGATTTCCAGTACAAACTATATGGATATGAAGAATGTGAATAAGAGCATTTGTACTCTATTATTATTGAATGAGACCCCCCGTAAACGTTATGCACGTGTTATGATCTGCATCTTACCTCTGCGTCATCTTCAGCTTTCTCTACTTTCCGGTTGTGTGCTAAAAAAGGGACTGGAACTGAGAGACAGAGAAAGAGAGTTTTTTTTATTATTAATAATATGTTTTATCTATATATTAGGAGAGAGGATAGGAGCAAGTATTTTAACATTGAAAAATGTACATTATTTCCCATCACGTGTAACAGTAGTTGGATTGTCTAATTCATTATAGTGAACTGGTTCATTCAGGCGCTTTACTTCAATGCAAAAAAAAAAAAAAAAACATCAGATCATCACCTAGAAATAACTATGAGAAATAATATTAATAATTAGTAATATATTTATCTATATACAGTATCTATATATTAGAAGTGGCTAAGAAAAAGTATTTTAACATAAAAAAATAATTCATCAATTTAGACGGTTCGTTTCAATGCAATAGTAAAAAAAAAAGATGAATCAATTATTGTGATGCATGACTGAAAAATAATAATTTTCAGCAATAACATTATTATTATTGTTGTTGAATTAATGTTAATTTATATTATTATTATTAAAGGGGTCATATGATGCGATTTCAAGTTTTCCTTTCTCTTTGGAGTGTTACAAGCTGATTGTGCATAGATAAGATCCCTGAAGTTGCCCCTTTAATAATAATATATTTATTTATATATTAGAAGAGGATAGCAGAAAGTATAACATTGAAAAAAAATATCTAATTCATTAGTTTGATGCATCACTAAGAAATGTTCCCAGAAGTAATTTTACACTTAATTTTTGTAGTTACATTTTTTAAACAACATAAAATCAAAAGTTTTGTTGTTTATTGTTCTGAAATGTCACCAACCACAGTTTAACCCTCTAAGTTCTAAGTTCTCCCTTACAATCGAGTGATTTACAAACACTTTGAAATCGGTTCAACTGAATCATTAAAAATAATTGATTCAAAGGAACAATTCGCTTCAGCAAATCATATAATGTGTAATGCTACCAGATCCCAGTAGGTGACGCCACAGACTTGACTGTCTCAGAAGGATAAGCATGTCTTTCGCTCTCTTTCTCTCTCAGCTGGGTCAATGTTGTGTCAGGTGTGGGTAGAGGACAGAATGACCCCAATACCCATACAAAAACAGCATTTAAACACACACAGCGGAGATAGAGACCTACTTGCGTCTGTTTCCTCAGGGTCCTCAGGGGGGAGCTCCACTTCCTCTCCACTTTTATCCTCGTCTACCAACGGCTCCTGTGATGGCATGACTGGATCCTGCAGAACAACACAGAGATTATACAGGCAGGCTATTTTTCAATGGTCTTTTTCCTCCTCTCTTCGGGGGCTCTAAATAAAAATGTCACTTATCCAAACATGACATCAAAACTGATCCTATTTACTTTCTTAATAAAGGTCCCTTGTGCAAGATAAATGTTTCTAGAAAAAAAAAAGAATTCATCAAAATTTAATAACTTTCTCTACCTTTGAAATTAATGTTCTTATCGGTTGACATAACTAACACCACAGGGGAAAATTTTGTTAACCAACGATATTACAGTTTGCTTTTCACAATCCAATTACATCTCAATGGATAAAATTATTCAATGTTCTATATTATTTTCCACTGAATACACCATTTCAAAAATGTCATATTTTAAAATATTTCTGATACTTTTCAAACTTTCTTGACCACAAAAAATAATAATAATAATTACCTATAATAATAATTATTATTAGTTATTATTGAAAATAATAATAGTATAATAAATTATAATAAAATGATAACAATCACATTATGAAAATATTTAATTATAATATACTGTATAGTATAGTATACAGTGGGTACGGAAAGTATTCAGACCCCCTTCAATTTTTCACTCTTTGTTATATACACAGCTGGACTCAAATGAAGGTGTAGAACCATCTCAAGGATGATCAGAAGAAATGGACAGCACCTGAGTTAAATATATGAGTGTCACAGCAAAGGGTCTGAATACTTAGGACCATGTGATATTTCAGTTTTTCTTTTTTAATAAATCTGCAAAAATGTCAACAATTCTGTGTTTTTCTGTCAATATGGGGTGCTGTGTGTACATTAATGAGGAAAAAAAATTTACTTAAATGATTTTAGCAAATGGCTGCAATATAACAAAGAGTGAAAAATTGAAGGGGGTCTGAATACTTTCCGTACCCACTGTATATAAACCAATATAATATATAGTTAATAACAATAAAAAAGAACAACATTTCTATTAACAGAATATGAATACATCAATTTAATAATAATAATAATGTTTCCAATTCTAATATTAAGGAGATTGTTTTAAACATTGTTGACAACAAAAAATAGAAAAAAACAAAAAAACAGTATTTTACATTATATTTTATTATTATTTATTTAACAGTATTTTATTTTTTATTTAACAGTATTTTAATATTATCTTGCCATAGTAGCACTTTTAATACCATAATACAAAATTTCTATATAATGTGTGCCTCTCTGAAGACATGGGAGTCAGTTATATCTAAGTATTCTTAGTCAAGACCATAAATGTGTAACTACAAAATGAAGACAAACACTTGTGAGAAAGTGAGATGAAACAATGAAAGAAGGTAGTCAGGCGAATGACAGAATGTCTTAACGAAATGAGGATAAAGTCAGAGTGAATAAAGCTCATCAGCTTTGAAATCTATTAAAGAAAACCTGACGTAGGAAATCTGAGGTCTGATGTCTTCTGTCATGTAAATAAACCGGAGAAACAGAACTGGAGAAACAGTTTCTTGCAGAAGGCAGTGTTGTGAAAATGTTTTGTGTGACAGTTTTCAGTCTGTGATTTCAACATTCTGTGTAAGTTTAGAATCAGGTCAATTCAATACTGACAAGACAGTGTTATCATCTGACAAATTCCACAAGGTCGATCGTTGAAACATTGTTAGAAACTCCAACAACACTCTTGAGAAATGAGAAGAGATGAAAAACAGCTAAAAAAAAACACATTAAAACTGCAATGAGGTTTTTAACAGCAGTGGATGTGTTCAATTTTCTATTTTTTGAATGTTGTCAAGTCTGGGGGTGACTGAATTAAGACTCTCAGTCACAACAGACAGATGATGAATATTTTTAGAGCTGACTGAAAGACTCACCATATGCCTTTGACAGGTCAGTGGGACGAGCTTGTGACAGCGTTTATGGACCAGTAGCTTGCAGTTGATACACTTGTAGCCCTGACGCCCCAGTCCCCATATCCTCTCGCTGCAGTGGCCACAGTATGCTTTCTGAGAGACACACACAGACATGATTACTGAAGTTAGACTAGCCTTATCTATGATACATTTAGCAAGTTGAACCACTTCAATGAATGAGTAAATCAATAAACTTAAGCAAACTACGAAAGAAAAAAGAGATGTCCTACAGATATCACATGAGCAGATAGCACACATCAGCTGAGTATTGCATTCTGAATTTCACACTAGTATAAAACTAGAAATGAAATATAGTAAATAAGTAAAAAATAAAATAAAACACACAGCCATTCAAATTGTTGGGGTCAATACGGTTATTTTATTTATTTATTTTTAATTTTTAGAAATTAATACTTTAATTTAGCTAATATGCATTAAATTGATCAAAAGTGACAGTAACGCCATTTATAATGTTTTAAAAGATTTCTATTCTAAGATAAATGCTGTTTTTACTTTCTATTTATCCTGATAATGAATCCTGATAAAAGATGAATCACTACAAACATATCAAGCAGCACAACTAGTTTAAACATTGATAATGATTAAAAATGTTTCTTTTCATCAAATCAGCATATTAGTATGATTTACGAAGGACCATGTGACACTGAAGACTAGAGTAATGGCTGCTGACAATAGCAAAAACAGGAATTTTAAATTGTAAAAATATTTCATATTATTAGTACTCTTTTTACTGTATTTTTGATCAAATAAATACAGCCTTGGTGAGCATAAGAAACTTAAACTTTAACATTTCAAAAACATTACAAAAGTCTTACCAACTTTTGAATGATATAAATAAATAAATCTTTTTCAGAAATAAGCATTTAACTGTAAATAAAATAAATATTGACTTTTTTTCAGGTCATTGGCAGGATAGGTATCATGCATAATACTGTACTATATTATATTTATATTACATGTATTGCTAAAATTGCAAGCTGTCCATGTACAACTAACACACGCTTAACACCTGTACATACTTAAGGCCTAGCTAATGCTAGATGTGGTTTAAAATTCAGGCACAATCAGAAGACTCTGCTGACAGCGCTGTAACAAACATTAAGGTTTCAAACGAACACACACACACCTGCTCACACACACGCCCTGTGAGTCATAAACAAATGAAAATATCTTTAGCTCAGTTTGCTGTGAAGTTCTCCATCTGTTCACAGGAAAAGTGCTACATGAATGCATGATAGAAATATAGAAAATAAAACTAGTTAGAACTGTGGAATCATCAACACAATAAATACAGCACAGGAGGACATGGGCAAGACCAACAAAGGTGCTAAATGATCACATTACAAACCAAGCAAAAGTCTTCTGTCAAGCTATCCACCAGGGGGCTCTCTAACAGCAGGACTTCAGTGCATCATGTAGCATAATCCTATTAAAATATGCCAATCTTTCATTATAGCTCATGCACTTCCTCTGACAGTTTCCCCTCTCTGCCATAGCAGATAGCTGAGCATCATCTGTTTAACAGGCCTCCAACAAACCCTCAGAGAAGGACTCTCTGGATACAAGATGCTCTTCTTGTCAGTGCTTGACGTTTCCTCCATGTTCCCAGACTCTATTTCACAGCTCTGTGAGCATGTCATGATCCCTGTGCTACTGGTGAGTTTTTAGACAACACTTCCTCACCATCTAAGGAAATGTTCACCTGCTGCAGTGATTTCTCTGTATCTCTGAAGCCTCCAGCCCTGATGAATGGAGAAGGGTCTGGCTGCAGCTGGCGCTTGCACTCTCAGACGTGCATTCTCAGGCTTGCACTCTCAGACACTTGCACTTCTGCAAGCGACGTCACTTGCAGGCTTTATAATTTTTTATTTTGTTCTATTTATTGATTACTTTTTGTTTGAATCTCTCAACATTTTACAACAGTAGCCAGGTGGTGAAGACAAGAAAAAAGAAACTAAATTACGAAGTCACTTGCAATCGCCACTTGCACTCTCCGATACCTGCGACGTCACTTGCAATCGACACAAATCGTGCGTGTTGCCAATGGAGACAAGACGCTGTGGTGGTGATTTAATGATTAAAACTAATTTAGTACCGTAACGTACAGGGTCCTGCAAGAAAAAGACAAGACCCGCAAATCTGTCGCCACAGAACAGCAGAATATGAACGCATGCGCAAAGTCTCTCGTTAAGCGTTTTGCTCCTGTAGAAAAACATAAACACTTAACATGGCTTAATGTATTAAGATGCTATTAAAATATCAAATTAAATATACAATTTATTAATATAATGAATATGTATATAGTATTTTCCTCCCATACCGCAAAACGTGGCATAATGTGGCATAATGGACTAAGCTCAATTTATGTAACTGGGGTTAAACACTGAGAAATCAGGGTTCCAAAGTAGCACACATATTATCTAAAGCTTGAAGCTGGAAAAGAAATAAACACATTCCTTATGATTAGGGATGTAAATAGTAAATAATTTCAAATATTCCGGTTCCTTAATGGCTACATTAGTAATTATTTTAGCACTTGAAAAGTTAAATACTTAATCAGAAAAAAAGAAAAAAGAAATGCACTTTCATCACAAAATGATGACATTATTGCAATACATTTAAAAGATTTTTGTTGTTTACAGACTATTTAACGACTTTTCAGTAACTGCATAAATCTTATTCAATAATTATATATAACTATAACTATATATTAAACATCAAAACTAAAGCAAAAATAAGTAACATTTCATTGAGTTGTTTTTAAAAATACTAACATGTATAATGTGTATTTTTAACTACACGTTGTCAAAGGAACAAGTCAGTAACTACACTAATTTAAGTCTTAGTTGTGAACTGTATGTGAGAGAGTGTCATTCGATCTCTAATCAGACTACACCTGTATATGTTTGAGCTACTGAAAAGAACTGACTCATTGAAGTCAGTTGTTGGAGGTTGGACCACACTACTAGAACTGTATGCATTTGATTCACATAAAAGTGATTAGCTCAGGAATCGAATTACACTGATTGCCCTATATGCATCTGATTCACTTTAAAGAACCGGCTCATAAGAGTCATTCATTGGAAAGTCGGACCCTGCTGGTTTGCGCTGTATGTATTTAATTCTCTAAAAACACTTGACTTACAAGACTCATTCACCCTCTAACTGAAACACACTGGTTGAGCTGTATGTGTTTGATTCAGTAAAAAAACCTGGCTCATGAGAGTCATTCATTCAGGAATCAGACTACACTGGCTGCCCTAAATGTGTTTAATTCATTAAAGGAGACATATTATGCCCCTTTTTACAATATGTAATATAAGCAGGGTTCCCACTCTTTCATGAACACCAGATTCAAGGACTTTCAAGGACTTTTTAAAGCACCATTTATTTTATATCAAGCACTTATCAAATTCACACCCCAGAATATGTAGTGTCAAGAAAGACCTTACATTACTTAACATTTCACTTACTCTTAACATTTACATTAAACAATTCAGAGTAATAATGTTTTGAATGTGTAGGTTTCATAAATTTAGACCGTTTTGAGCAGTTGTGTTCAAAGGAATTTAATGAAATCCATTGAAGTCAATACTGGTGATAAATAAAATTCAATTTCTAAAATATTGATAAAATATGCATCAAACTGATTTTTGCTGTAGTTCTTGTACAAGATTTAAATTTGAAAGAATTTCTCAATTTTTAAATGAATAAAAAGTGGTTAAATGTTGTAATAACATGGTAAAACCTGTTAACATTAAACATTTGCACATTCACTCAAAAGATACGTTACTCATTAATAAATAAACTCAAGCCAAAATAATTTTGTAAATTACTTTTTATTGTAAATCCCATTTTTTCATCTTTGACCTAGAGGAATGCAGCTGCTCAAACATGCAGCTGCTCAAAACGTCAATATTTTTTACAAATATTTCATGAGCATTTTAAACCTTGTACATAAAAAAATATATAAAGAAAAGAAATAAAAAAACAGGACTTTCTATTTGCTTTTAAACTGTAAA